CAACCGCTGTTACACATAGTACCGACTTCTCCACAATGAACCTCCTTCCGGAAATTCCTAATTCAGACTTGTACTCACTTGGACTTCTCACGGTAAGTATATTCAAATATTCGTAGAATCCGTATCTACTAGTACTTGAACCCGAAACCCACTCATGGAGGGTTGGGTGCCTAGACCACTAGGCCGCGGGATCCCAACCCTAAGTATACTAATACTGTGCATCTTTGGTTCTAGTTTTTATTATATGAAATATAAACTGCTTTTGTATCTACTACTTTTAATTGTTTTAGCAATAGCACTTCTATTGCTGATATTTGATTATTTTGCTCTACTTTCTAGTATTTCTTTAACAAAAGCATCAGGTATTACTCTTATTTTTTTCCTTCTATAAAATGTACTATCTATGCAGCTTAAAAAACCTGCTTATATCTTTTATTATAGTATTTAATTATAAAAAATACTGTCTTGTTTTTTTTTTATGGCTTCTATTCTAAAATGCTTATTTTGCTATAGAAATACAAGTATTTCTTTATTGCTTTGATTGCATATACAATAGTAAATCTCATAGTATAAATAGCTTAGCCTGGTTTGCTTTATTTGTATCTGCTCTTACTGATATTTCTTTTTGTTTATCACCTTTACTTAGCTTTTGTGTATTTACTACAATTTTAGTGTTTATTAATACAGATATAACAAGTAATATCTTTTTTAGTTTATACACCAACTCTTCTGTTATGTCTTTCTTTAATTCTTCATTATTAGCTTTCTTCTTGTCTTCTATTTTCAAATCTAATTCTGTGTTACTTTTCTTTATCATTTGCATATATAATGACTTTTTACTTTTGACTTCATTTATACCATAATTGACTACTCCACTCTCATACTCTAGTAGTTTTTCTTTAATCTGTTTATCAAGTCTTGATTTTGCTATACTCTTAATTAGCTCTATCTCTTTGTTTTTGCTCTTTAGATATTTATTATAGTCATATAACTCTATAATTCTTCTAAAAATACTTATTGTTTTGGGTATAGCTCTGGTTAACACTGCTATTTCTCTATTTTTCCATAATACTAGATGTGTATGTTTTTGTCTTGTTACATTTCACTCTTTGGGTAATTTTGTAAAAAAATTCTTGTACTCTTCTAATTTGCTAAACCAGTTTAACTCTACTACTGCAGTTTGTTTATCATGTGTTGTTATCCTGTGTTACACCTGTTTGCTTCTAAAATATTATCTTGTTTTAAGTACTAGTTATACATATACTATTTTAATTACTATTTGTTTTGTGCTATATTTATATATTTGTTTACTTTGTATAATATACAAAGATTTGCAAACTAAGATATGCCTGTTTCCTATTTTTTTTTCGAAAAACAAAAAATTTTTAGCCAAAATACTATTTTGGATATAAACTATGCTACTCATTATGAATTAATAGAATATTGTTCT